CTGCGGTGGCTGGAAGCAGCCACTGCACTCCAGTCTGGGCGACAGAGTGAGATTCCAACTCAAAAACAAAACAAAACAAAACTGAGTAGTAGGAGTTCTTTATATGTTCTGGATATGTAACCCTTATCCAGTATATGATTTATAAATATTTTCTCTCATCCTGCAGGTTGCCTTTTCACTCCACCTTAATTTCATTCTAGTTTTGGCTGATTGCTTTCCTTGCTGCACAGAAGTTATTTGAATTTGTTGTAATTTCCTTTGTCTATTTTTGCCTTTGTTGCCTGTGCTTTTGATTTTTTTTTTTTTTTAATTGAATTGGAGTCTCCATTTGTAACCCAGGCTGGAGTGCAGTGGCATGCTCATGGCCTCCACAACCTCGACCTGCTGGGCTCTGGTGATCCTTGCGCCTTAGCCTTCCAAGTAGCTGGAACTACAGGCACATGCCACCACGCCCTGCTTAATTTTTGATTTATTGTAGAGATGAGGACTCACCACGTTACCTAGGCTGGGCTTGAACTGGTGTGCTCAGGCAATCCTCTTACCTCGTCCTCTCAAAGTGCTGGGATTATAGACGCGAGTCACTGCACCCAGCCTGCTTTTGGTTTTATAGCAAAGAAATAGTTGCCAAATTCACTGTTATGAAGCTTTCCTCATGTTTTCTTCTAGGAGTTTTATAGTTTCAGGTCTTAGGTTCGGGTCTTTAATCTGTTTTGAGATGATTTTTTTATATGGTGTAAGATAGGAATCCATCATTCTGTTGCATACGGACTCAGCACCATTTGTTGAAGAGACTGTTCTTTCCCCATTGTGTAGTTTTGACTCATCATTTGATCATATACATGATATAAACACCATATTGTTTTGATTATTGTATTTTTGCAATATATAGATATTTTTTTGGTGGGTACATGCCTGTAGTTTCAGCTACTTGGAAGGCTATATAATATGTTTTAATATTGGAAAGTGAAGCCTCCAGCTTTGTTCTTTCTCAAGATTGTTTTGCTTATTTGGAATCTTTTTGAGATTTCATATGAATTTTAGGAGACTTTTTTTCACTTTTGCAAAAAATGACATTGGAATTATATGGAGATTGCACTGAATCTATAGCTCAATTTGGGTAGTATGGACATTTTAACAACACTAAATCTTCCAATCCATGTCTATGGGTGTCTTTTTGTTTATTTGTATCTTTAATTTTTTAATCAACATTTTGTCATTTTCACTGTGCAGATCTTTTGTCTACTTGGCACTGGTTATTCTTAATTGTTTTATTTTTTATGCTATTGTAAATAAAATTTTCTTAGTTTTCTTTCTGTTTTGTTCATTGGTAGTATATAGAAGTGCAGCTGTGATTTTTGTGTGTTGACTTTGTGTCCTGCTACTTTGCTGAGGTGGAATTCATTTATTAGTTCTAACAGCTTTTTTTGTGGATTTTTTTTTTTTTTTTTGAGCCAGATTGGAGGGTAATGGCAAGATCATGGCCCACACTGCGTTGAACTCCTGGGCTCAAGCACTCCTTTCTCTTCAGCCTCCCGAGTACCTGCCCAGATAATTTTTAAATTTTTTTGTAGAGATGGGGGCTTGCTATGTTGCCCAGACTGGTCTCGAACTCCTGGGCTCAAGCAGTCCTCTTTCCTCGGCCTCCCAAAGTGCTGGGATCACAGGCCTGAGCTATTGTGCCTGGCGGAAATCTTTATGTGATTATTTACTTTTTTTGCATATATATAAAATCATGTCATCTGTGAACAGATAATTTTATTTCTTCCTTTCCAGTTTGGATGCTTTTATTTTCTTGCCTAATTGTTCTGATTGTACCATGTTGAATAGAAGTGGTGAGAGGGGCTTCCTTGCCTTGATCCTCATCTTAGAGGAAAAGCTTTCAGTTTTTCTTTGGAGGGACTGAGGCAGGCAGCGGACCCTTTGTTGCTTCTGGGGAGCGGGCTCAGGAGCTCTTGGTGGAGCGGGTCCGCTTTCTCTTCACCATCACGGGCTTCTGGCTGCGCAGGATGGCGCTGGCCCTGCGGATGGCAGCCATGCGCAGGTCGGGGCGGTACTTATTCTGGCGGATCATGTGCCTGATGCTGCTGAACGTGGCCCTGGCGTTCTTGTTGATGGTGGTCCGCACGTAGGAAGTGGCTGGCTTTCGCTGGCCGGACCTCCGCTTCATGACGACCATCCACTGCAGGTGCGCGGACGTGGCGGCGGCTCCTCTCGCTGCTGCGTCCGGAGACGGAAAGAGGGAGCTTTCCGTTTTTATCATTGATTATGATGTTTGCAGTGGGCTTTTCATGTGTGGCCCTTACTACGTTGAGGTTATTTTCTTCTGTTCTAGTTGTTGAGTGTTTTTATCATGAATGTTTGTTGAATTTTGTCCGGTGCTTTTTCTGCACTGTTTGAAATGATTATGTGATTTTTGTCCTTCATTCTTTTACTGTAGTATAATACATATATTGATTTTCCTATGTAGAGCCATTCTTGCATCCCAGGGATAAAGCCTCCTTGGTCGTGGTGTATGATCCTTTTAATGTGCCTTTGGATTTGGTTTGATAATATTTTTTGAGATTGCTTGCATCAATATTAGTCAAGGATATTGGTCTGTAGTCTTTAAAAAAAAATTTTTTTTTGTAGTATCTTTGTCTGGCTGTGGTATCAAGGTAATGCTGGCCTCATGAAATGAGTTTGGAACTGTTTTCAGTTTTTGTTTTTTGAGTTGGAGTCTCACTCTGTCGCCCAGACTAGAGTGCAGTGACCGCTCCCGGCCACCGCAGCCTCCACCTGGCGGGCTCCGGAGATCCTTCCGCCTCAGCCTTCCAAGTAGCTGGAACTACAGGCGCGCACTACCACGCCCGGCTAATAATTTTTTGATTTATTGTAGAGATGAGGTCTCGCCAAGTTGCCCAGGCAGGTCTCGAACCCGTGGGGTCAGGCAGTCCACTCATCTCAGTCTCCCAAAGGCGTGGGATTACAGGCTGAGTCACCGAGCCCGGCTTGTTTTCAGTTTTTTGGAAGAATTTGAGAAAGATGGGCATCAGTTTTTCTTTAAATATTTGGTAGAATTTTCTAGCAAAGCTGTCTGTTCGTGGGCCTTTCTTTGTTGGGAAGTTTTTGAAATCACTGATTTAATTTTCCTGCTAGTTATAGGTCTGTTCAGATTTTCTACTTCATCATGATTCAGTCTTGGTAGTTTGTATGTTTCTAGGAATTTAATTCTTTCTTTTAGGCTTATTCAGTCTTGGTCGTTTGTATGTTTCTAGGAATTTAATTGTTTCTTTTAGGCTTTCCAAATTGTTGGTGTATGATTGTTTATAGTAGTATCTTTTTTTATTATACAGAAGTTGGGTACAATTCAGTGTCAGGTATACAGATGGTGATTATGCAGGTACCCTTGTTAATGAGGTATGTCCCTCCCTCCCCTAGCAGTTTCTCTCAACTGCCAATCCCACCCCCACTCCCCTGACAGTTTCCTATTACTGCCAATCCCTTTCTTATAGTATTATAATTGTTCAGGGTCTGCTTATGAGTGAGAAACATATGGTACTCTGTTCTTTGTTTCTGTGATAGATCACGAATATGATAGACTCTAAATCCATTCAAGTTGCTGCGAAGTCCATATGTTTGTCCTTCTTTATGGCTGCATAATATTCCATTGTGTATATGTACCACATTTTTTCTTATCCAGTCCAGCTTCAATGGGCAGCATGGTTGGTTCCATGTTTTTGCTATAGTAGTATCTTATAATCACTTTTATTTCTGTGACATCAGTTGTAATGTCCCCTCCTTTATTTCTGATTTTAGTTGAGTCTTCCTTGGTTATTTCTTAATCTACCTAAGGATGTGTTGATTTTATTGATGTTTTCAAAAAGCCAACTCTTAGTTTTGTTGATTCTTTTCTGTTTTTCTCTATTTTATTTCTGCTCTGTTTATTTCCTTTTTTTTTGCTAACTTTGGGTTTCGTTTGTTCTTCTTTTTCTAGTTCCTTGGGGCCTAATGTTAGCTTGTTGATTTAAGATCTTTTTTCTTTTCTTTTTTTTTGAGTTAGAGTCTCACTCTTGTCATCCAGGCTGGAATGCAGTGGCCCACTCACGGCCACCCAGCATCCACCTGCTGGACTCCGGCGATCCTTCCACCTCAACCTTCCAAGTAGCCAGAACTACGGGCACACTATCACACCAGGCTAATTTTTAAAAAATTTATTGTAGAGATGAGGTCTCGCCAAGTTGCCCAGGCTGGTCTTGAACCCATGGACTCAGGCAATCCACTTGCCGCAGGCACAGGCAGTCCATTCGCCTCTGCCTCCCAAAGTGCTGGGATTACAGGCTGAGCCACTGAACCTTTTTTTCTTTTTTAATGTTGGTGTTTACTGCTATACATTTCCTTTTTTTTTTTTTTTCTTGAGTCAAGGTTTCTCTCTGTTGCCCAGGCTAGAATGTGGTGGCATGATCACAGCTCACCACTGCCTTGAGCTCCTGGGTTTAAGTGATCCTCCTGTGTTAGTCTCCCGAGTAGGTGGGATTACAGGCTCATGCCATAACACCTGTCTGATTTTTAAGAATTTTTGTAGAGACGAGGTCTTGCTATGTTGCTCCGGCTAGTCTTAAACTGCTGAGCTCAAGCCATCCTCCTGCCTCGGCCTCCCAAAGTGTTGGGATTACAGGAGTGAGGCAGGGCATCCTGCCAGACTTCTCTCTTTACACTGTTTTTGTTGAATCCCTTAAGTTTTGGAGTGTTGTGTTTTCATTCTCATTTGTCTTAAGATATTTTCCAATTTGCATTGTGATTTCTTATTTGAGCCATTTGTTCAAAGATGTTGTTTAATTTCTACATATTTGTGAATTTTCTAGTTTTTCTACTGCTGTTGGTTTTTATTTTCATTCTATTGTAGTTAGAAAAGATACTTCATATGATTTTAGTCTTAAATTTGTTAAGACTTGTTCTGTAGCCTAACGTGATCTGTCTTGGAGAATGTTTCATGTGTATTTTAGAAAAATGTGTATTGTGTCACTATTGGGTGGAGTGTTCTACATATGTCTGTTAGTTGCATTTAGTCTACAGTGTTGTTCAAATTCTTTGTTTCCTTATTGATCTTCTGTCTGGTTTATCCATTATTGAAAGTGAGGGTATTGAAATCCACTATTATTGGGCTACTGCCTGTTTTTCTTTTCAATTCTGTCAATATTTGTGTTAGGTACCAAAATCTCCCAGTAGGGGATCTCGGTGGAATCTCTGAAAATAACAAAATGTTAAGTTACAAAATATTAGTGGGGCCTCCAAAATGTTAGGTCAGACCCTCCCGGGTGGGGTTGTGTGATCTGGTGCCGCAAGAAGGTTGCAAAGAATTGCACAGAAGTTAGATTAGAAAATATAGTTTATTTAGAAAGTACATTAGAGAGAAAGGAGATTCACCTCTCCAAGGTAGGAGGGGAGGGGTCAAAGCGGCAGCCGTAACTCAAAGAGCACATGGCCACACCAGAGTTTAGCAAAGCAGTGGCAAATAGCTACTTGAGGTCGAATGCTTTTCAAGAAATTTTCCCTTTAATGGGAGCAGGCCGTTAAGGTGATTTGGTGGTGGTCTGCTCCATGTCATCATGAAGGGGACAGGTAAGTGTAGGTACTGACGTCAGGTGATGGATAGCAGGCAGATGGGTGGGTCAGTCACATGATTGCTGCCATGGTGATGGGGTCTGTCTGTGTCATGCAGGTCATGAAGGGCTGATTAGGATCTTATGGGTGGAGGCAAATACTTGAAATAGAAAAGCTAATTAGTACAAAACAAGCTAGGTAGCGGTTGTAAAACAATTACCAACAGCTACCTCTGAGAAATCAGTTCTGTCCTTGGTAGTGGATTAGAGGGTAAGTTAAAGTGAACTGCTGGGCTATACTCTGCTGGGCTAGCACTGCCTTGCTAGACTGGTGAGGCCATGCTTTCTGGCTTTGGCCCCCTCCCCCACCTTGGGGAGGTGAATCTTCTTTCTCCCTTCTTTCTCTCTCTAATTTACTTTTAAATAAACTATATTTTTTAATCTAAAAAAAATAAAGTGAAGTGCTAGAAAAATATGACAACTAGGCAGTGTTAAAATGGCTGTTCTTTGGCTATATTAACTCCATGCTATGTCCTTTCAGTTTGCCTCACATATTTGGGTGCTCTGGTACTACATTTGCACTTTTGCAGCTGCAAGTGGCTGGAGAACTAACTTTGCTGATTGATCTTACCATCAGTTAATGAACACTAGGGTCAGGTGAGCCCTTAAAGTTGCTCAGCAATAGTTCTTAGTCCATTTAGTCTCTTAGTGTGGCACCTAGATCATCATTTAAACTTTCTCCTCCTCAGTTCTTCAGCAGCACGTCCCCTGCCTTATTTTCAGCACACAGCTTTGCTTTATCCATTGAAAAAATAGATGCCATAAGAAGAAAATGTCTATAAAGCTTCTGCCAGTACTGTCTACATCTGGCTCCTGTTTTTCTCACTTCCCTCTGTTATTGTGGAATGAACTGACTATGCTTCTAGTAAGAGCTAAAACCTCACTGTGCTCTGATTCCATCTCTTTTCTCCTACACTCTGCAGGATCATTCTCACCTATGTACCAGCATGCTGTTGTTAATTCTGTCATTTTAAGATTTTTAAGAAACAGCAGAACTTCTCTTGATCCCACTCTCCTCCTTAGCTGTTGCCCTATTTTCTTTTTTCTTCAAAGAAGTATCTACACTTTGTTTTTAATTTTTATTCTCCAATATCTCATGAGCCCACTTAAATCAGGCTTTACTCCAAGCACCCTGCCTGAACTGCTTTTTTTTTTGCTAAAAATATTTGGAATGCTTCACGAATTTGCATGTCATCCTTGTGCAGGGGCCATGAAGGTCACCCATGACTCATTCTCATCCTTCAGTTGTTTGACCTATTAACGATATTTGACACAGGTGATTATTTATTCCCTCTTCCTTGAAACACTTTCTTCACGTGGCTTCCAGGTTTGCACACTAAGGAATTCAGGGCTCAGTCCCTTATCACTCTTTTTAAGCCACATTCAGTCCCTTGTTGATGTTATTTGGCCTCATGGCTTTGAAACCATCTGTGTTTCAGATTCTGATGATGCCCAAATTTTAATCTCCAGCCTGAACTTTGGAAATGCAGATTTATATTCCATTTGTGTATGCATAATAGATAACTGAAATACAACTTTCTCAAATACATGGCCTCCTTTGTCCAAGAATAGTCAAAACTAAAACTATTTTCTTCTACTTTCAATATCTTATTAACATATT